GAGTTCAAGTCTCCTGCTCTGCTGCGGAGTGCCTTCAAGCACCCGTCCTACCCCCGTCAGTTTGAGAGCGTGCCCAATTACCAGCGCCTCGAGTTCCTCGGTGACGCGCTTCTAGACATGGTCTGCGTCGACTTTCTCTTCAGGAAGTTCCCCGACGCCGATCCCCAGTGGCTCACTGAACACAAGATGGCCATGGTTTCGAACCACTTCCTCGGAAGTCTGAGTGTGGAGTTGGGCTTCTACCGGCGTGTGCTGCACTTCAGCGGCGTCATGGCCAACCAGATTAAGGACTACGTCGACGCACTTACTCATGCACGTCAAGAAGCCGAAGCCGCGGCCCAGATCTCTGGCGTGATCTCGCAAGATTACTGGCTCAACGTGCAGCACCCCCCCAAATTTCTCTCAGACGTGGTCGAGGCATACATCGGTGCTATTTTCGTTGATTCAGGATACAATTATAGCCAGGTACAGGCATTCTTCGAGAAGCATATCCGGCCTTTCTTCGCAGACATGGCGCTATATGATTCCTTTGCCAGCAGCCAGCCTGTCACGACGTTGGCGCGCATGATGCAGCAGGACTTTGGCTGCCAGGACTGGCGGCTTCTTGTAAGTGAGCTGCCACCGAGCTGCGAAGACGGAGGGGCAACTGCAATCACTGAGACGGAGGTGATTTGTGGGTTCATGGTCCATGGAAGAATCCTGCTACATGCCAAGTCGTCGAGTGGACAGTACGCCAAAGTGGGTGCTGCGAAGAGAGCGGTTGAAAAGCTAATGGGTCTCGGTAACGACAAGGAGGCCTTTCGCGAGGACTTCGGCTGTGACTGTGGCTGTGATGGTCAAGCAATCTAGTAGCTGTCGATGAATGTGGAGGGCGAGTGAATGTTTCGTCGGCGGGGCCCCTTGATGCGAGCGCCCCTTGGAGGGTGTTGTGGCACTAGATTCTCTAGGCCGGCGGTGACTTTCATTACCATATGAGAAGCAAATACGGCGCCTTCATCACAATAATAAATATCGATTTCGAGTCGATTCCAGACCCATTACAGGCCTATGTCTGTGCAATCAATTGGGTACTGATTTCTTGCATTATCATTATGGACGTTGTCTACTTGAGTCTCAGGTCCAGCTGATGCTTATAGGTCGTCTCAAGGATGCGACTACCTCTCTCTCTCTCTTTGCCATTCCTAACTGATTCTATCTCATAGTTTTTCCTTCACGTCTATAAAGAGGGAATCTGCCTTGACAAGCACAGTCCCCTGTTCGTCCTCGACAGTCCCTAACAGGAAGCTTTTCCTTCCCTCGATGCGCAGCACCTTGGCCCGACAAAGGTACGTCGCCGGCACCGGGACGGGTTTCAGATAATTGATGTTCAGGTACCCCGTCATGTGCGCCTGAGTGGACACGGCGCCCCACGACTTGTTCATAGCCATGGTGAGACCCAGGACCTCATCCATGAGGGCGGCGATGAGGCCGCCATGGCACAGGGAGGGGTGACCGGCAACGTCAGTGCCAATGGTGACGAAGAAGTCGATCTCCTCAACGAGGGGCGGGGCGTCTGGCGCAGGGGCCTCGTGGAAGGAGAGGAAGGCCTTGATGGCGCCCGGTGCGTTGAGGACTGTGGCGAAGAGGTTGTCCTCACCCGAGAGTTTGGGGAAGCGGCAGACGGGGGTCTCGTAGATGGTGCTGGGTGTAAGGTGGGCGGCGCACCAGGGGATAGAGAGGAAGTGCTGAAGGTCTGGATTCTCCGGTGTCATGGCCAAGACATCGGAGTTTGTCTGTTTCGTTTTCGCTGCTTCACCTTCCATTGCAAAGTAACATTAATGTGTGTGTAAATGAACGGTATTCACTAGGCTACCGGCCGTGTGAGTTGTTATAACAAGAGGCGCGATGTTCTGTACCGAGGTAAGCTCCACTTTTCTCCATGTGGTCTGTGCCAAGGTCCGCCCCTGAGGTTTGGGTACCAGTTGCCCAGGAAGGCCCTCGCAACAACGATCGCAAACTTGCTGGCACAATCTCTCATCTAGTACCTCGGAAGAACGAGATTGAAACGTAACAGAGAAGATAAGTTCGAATGCCTCGCTATCATACTTATATTCATCGTAACCGGCGCATTGCATTAAGTGCGTGCTCAACATGTTTGGGGACAGGTGCTCAGCCGCCGGCCATCACTACCTGTTCGCCTTTCAAGAAGAGGGGCAGCAGGCACGGCTGGGGTTAATGAGCAGTCATGACTGGATTCGAAACAACTCGTAGCTGCTTCTTCAAATGGATCTGGCTTTGCATTCATACGAGTATTAGAAGCAGGGCTCCAGGAACAGTGAACTGCAGGAAGACCTTCGTGCCAACTCTGCTTCACGACTCGTTGCTTTTGTCGTACCCATGCACGACCACAAACATCACAGCCGGAGTAGAGCTTTTATTTCGCCTCTGAAGTCCATTATAGTCACACAATTTCTATCATGCTACGTCACATATCGTTGCCGGATATGCCGCCCATGAAGGAGGAGAACCCACACGGCTGCCTCGGGCAAACCCAGACGCTCCCAGCAGATCTCTTTCGCAAATCATCCGGTCCCAGGCGTGCACCCCTTCTCGCCAATCTGTAGGACAGAAGCGCTGAGTCAAGGGAGCTGACTGACACGGAGAAGGCTGCTATTGCAGGCGAAAAGGTGCGCGCCAAGCTGCGGAACCTCTTCAATGCTCCCACGGGCGCCGAGAACATACCTAGGGGCCAGCAGCTTCCGCGATTTCTTCCTTTTGAGGAACGTGCGGAATGGCGCAAGGCCAACGCCGTGACACTCACTTCTGGTGCTGCTTTCCCGTCGTATAAGTCGAACAGGTTCAAGGCAAGGAAAGCTTCGGTCAATATGGATCTTTGTTTTCTGGATGACTATTCTCCTTCGCCACAGGAGTACACGGAACCTGATATCCTCATGAAAGTCCTTCATCACGGCCATGGTCTTGATAGCAAGACATCTTTGTCTGCACAGACTGATGAACATGTCCAGAAGAAACACCCCAAGGAAGCCGACAATTGCCACTCACACGATTTCTCGTCATCCTCATATATTAGTGCTAGGATCGGCAGGATTCAGTCACGCTCAGAATCCCCTGTTCAGTCTGTCGCAAAGGACGCGATGCCAGATACCCAACTCCTGCAAACTGTCCGCAAGCTTCGAATCAGTTCATCGAGCCCTGGAGTTCAAGGCACATCATCGGCTGCCACTGAACATCGCATCTCTCGGTCCCACAGTTCAAGCAGCCGCAAGCTGTCATCCACAAAGAAGCCTCGAAATGCGAGACGTGCTATTAGCTCGAGCAATGGCAACAATGAACATCTTCATAAAACAGAGATCAAAACAGAGATGATTCATTTCAGGGCATCTCAGGCTGATGAAACAACAGCTGAGCTGGAAGAACCTCGGCACCGATGTCCCACTGCACATACATTCGCTAGTTCCTATCGGTCCTGTCAAACGAGCATCAAGTCCGGTGTACTGGACTCTTCAATGGGGGCCACGCAAGTGTCCCGGTGCAACGCCATCTCCGACAAGACGGATTCGAGTGTCCGAGAACTACGGGGGCAGAAGTCCACCGACCGCAGATCCTCCGATGACACGTCTGTATCGGCTGAACCATCTGTGTTGGAGCTACCAAGCCCAGTAGCCTCAGTTCCGTTGCAAAAGCCTGCTGGCAAGGGACGTCTTCAAACAAAGAATCTGGAAGCAAGAAAATCTGACGGACAGGCTGTCACCAAGGGTGTTCTAGAAGGAGACAGTAGTATCAAGCAGCAGAAAAACATAAAGAAGCACAAACACAGTCTTATCACCCGAGCAAGACAGGCTCTCTCGCGGCGTCGCCGTCGTATTCAAGCCTGGCTGAAGAACACACGAGAGAGCTGGCATGGTGTGGACGCCAAGGCTGAGCTGCGCAAACGCAAGAAGAAGAGGCAGCCACACGCTCCACTGCTGCGTCCAGTGCGCAGCGTGTTTGGTTTGCGGAACATCTCGAGCGACACTGTGGTCGTTCAGTCCGTGGAGAAGGAGATTGAAAGACGTGCCAGCGACCCGGTGCTACGGCCCAGATACAGTGTCTTCAGCTTCCGTTCAGGAGTGAGTACGAGGCGTGGGAGGGTTTAACGAGCATCAGGGGCGGTGTCAACTGAGAGTCGATGAGGCAGTCATGATATTCTTTCCAATTCAGAAGACAGTGCCAAGAATACAAAGTTAAGGGAACGTTCAATATTTTCAGTTCTCCACGCACAACGGTGACACACAACGCAAATGCTCAGCCGCAGCCAGCTAACTCTCTTCGTCGTTTAAAAGGCTTCATTTCTCACCCGTGTTATCAAAGCATATATCTAAACCTTTCCCTCTCCTCTCTTCGTCTCTTACTTCTCCTCCCGACCAGCCCCTCCTCTTCCTCAGCGCCCACATCATCGATCTCTGAAACCCCCGTCTCCCGCACCCTGCCTTCCTCTCGATCCATTCGTCGGTTCAGCAGCTGCATGTACACCCTCATGGCTCCAACGAGCACCGCCACGCCCAGCATTGCTCCGGCGCACGCCCGCATGCCCTTCTCGTAGAACGGCGCGTCAGCGTCCGGGTACAGGCGCGTGCCGACGAGGGGCCCGCACTGGCCGACAAGCTGCAGCAGGGCAAAGGCGGCGGCGCGGCGGGGCCCGCGCGGCTGGTTGTTGACGGACCAGGCCAGCAGCAGGGCGACGACGGCGTAGAAGCCGGCGGCGGCGGGGAAGAGGGCGGCATACCGGAGCCAAGGGGACAGGCCGAGCGGGCGGGCGAGGGCGAGGACGGCGTAGCCGCTAGCGGAAGCGAGGGCGTGAAGGGCCAGTGGGGCGGAGCGCGATCGCAGGCGGTCGGAGAGGGCGGCTGTCGGCAGCAGGACGAGGAAGGCGACGAGGTAGGGGGGCGCCGCGAGGATGTGGGCCTCGGTGTCTGGGTGGCCCATTTCCGTGAGGATCTTCGGGAGGAAGACGGGGAGCGAGGAGAAGGCCATGTTTGTGAGGAAGAAGATGGCGGCGGGGAGCCAGGCCAGCGGGTCTTTGAGGATGGCGGCGTACTGGGACAGGGTCGAAGAAGTCTGCGGGGACGTTGAGGCGGCGTCGGCGGCCGAGGATGGCGAGGGCGGCGTCTCCTCGTTGCGCAGGCGCAGGCGGGCGACTTTTCGCTGGCGCGGGGTGAGGTAGGTTGCTGTCTGCGGCGAGTCGGGAATCAGACGCCAGGCGATGGGGGCGATGAGCACCGAGGGGAAGCCCTCGAGGAGGAAAAGGAGGCGCCACGGGGCGATGGGCCCGTTCTTTGCGAGAGACACAATGAGAAAGGCGAGAGACGAGGCAAATGCGGTGGCCAGGGGCGCGGCGGACAGGAAGATGGCTGTGCGAAGGGCAAGCTCCTTCCGCTTGAAGAAAAAGGAAAGGTAGTATGGAATGCCAGTGAACGCGGCCTCACCGATGCCGAGGAGGGCGCGCAACGCAATGAGCATGGGGTACGAGACGGCGACGGCCTGAAGGGATGCGATGAGGCCCCAGGAAAAGACAATGGCGGCAATGTAGGCGTGGGCCGGCAGGTGGCGCCAGAGTATGGACATCCACTCAAAGGCAATATAGGTGATGTAAAACGTCGTCAGAGCCCAGGGGTACCATCCGTCCCAGGCGGGCGTCGTCTGGAGGTCGGCGTCCATGCCGGCGATGCGGGCGTTGCCAATGTTGGAGCGGTCGAGGAAGCTCAGCATGTAGAGCAAGGCGACGAAGAGGACAAGTCGGCGATCGAACTTCTTGACCACAGCAGCCTCCTCATCTGGCGTGTACAGCTGGAAGCTGGCGACGGTGCTCGTCATGCTGCTTCTTCGACCAGAGGCCGAGGTGGCAGGCCGTATCCAGCCGTCGCTATCTTCCTCGTCCTCCTCGTCATCATCGCGACGGCCACCGGCCTTGACAGGTTGCAGCTCGTAGGCCTCGCCGAGGGCGGATTCGCGATGGCGCAGGTCGTCATCTTCTGACTCGAGGTCGAGGTCGAGGTCGAGGTCGAGATGGTTATCGAGGTTGGATTCTGCTGTCGTCGGGGCGAATGAGGGCGAGGAATTACGGGGTTGGAGGTGGCTGCCTCGTGAGGAACTCGCCATGGTCGTGGCGCTTGTGAACCAGAGAAGAGATACGCATCGACCGGAAGCCAAATCTCGGTATCAGCTTGCCACGTCAACGTCGCCTCAACGATGACAGCATATGCTGCTCGACATTTGGCTGCAGAGCAGCAGTCAGGGGCCGTTGGACGTCGGTCGGGGGGATGTGGTATCGGCTGAAGTGAAATGGGGGTAGTCGCCGTTGCTCTGGATCACAACGTTCAATTGGTCTCGAAGCTGGCCCATGACGTCTTTAGCGAGGTGATCCCTGTCATAGCTCCCTCGCGCCCCCGTCCCCGTCCCCTCCCCTCCCCCTAAAGCTCCAGAGTCCAACTCGCCATCTCTCGTCTTGGCTTGTTTCCGAAAAGCCTGGGGAAGGGCGCCTGAGCATGAATCGCTAGGGTCCAGAGCGATGAGATCTCCGCTATTAGAGGGGCTGGCTGTACGTGACAGCCAGCCGCCTTGAATGGATCTGTTAGGGGTATCGCACTGACAGTGGACTTCGTCTGAGCTGATGATTTCAATCGACACCAACTCGTCGCCCAAGTCTGTTCCGCAACGCACGATGTGTCGGGAATCAAAGCGCGTGACTGTGCTTGATATTATCATCATCATTAAACACGGCGGTCTAGGCCTTCTCCTCTCTACCTTTGCACGCCCAAATAGTGGCAGCGATCAACACCCTTCGTGTGCCCTGATTATACCCAACGCCATCCCATGACTACTATAACCGTGATATTACCAATAAAAACACCCTGATGCACCCCAGAGCATCAAGACGACCCTTCTTTCATACCAAATAACCTACGCAAGCTCCGACTCTTGTGTGGTGTTTTGATCCCAACATTTGGGTCCAGCAGTGGTGGAGGTTGAGCTGTCGCCGGCCGTTGCTCTCTCGCCGGCGGAGGCTCTCGCGTCGGTGCTGGCGGCACCCCAACCGACGTTGCCTTTTTATGGGTTGGCGGCGCTGCGGATGGCGGCGGTGGGAATGGCGAGTATCCTCCCGTGACGCGCTTCGATGCGCTGCCACTTCGATCCCTGCTATACCGTGTCTCTCTGCTGCCGGCCCGTGGCCGTGTCTCACCCTCGCGCGGCCTGTCCATGGATAATTTGTTCGGTCGCTGGCCTTCCCCCCTCGGCGCCTCAAAGGATCGCATCGCCGGCTCCAGCACGGGCTCCTGCTTCATGAGCTCCGCAACGTGTCTCGGCTCCAGCTGCTCCCGCGGCGGCTCCAGCAGCTCTTCGCACACGGCACGCTCTTCGTCACCGCACACGATGACGTACCACCGAATGTCCTCGCCCTTTTGCAGCTGGTCCCGCAGCTTCTCGAGCCAGCCAGCCTTCTTTCCTGAGGTGGCCCCCTTCTTGTGCCCTGCTTTGCCGTTGTTGAAGTCGTCACTGCTCGCCGCCGCCATGGCCCTGCCGCCGCCCGAGTCCCGCCTCATACGTTCCTCGTAGCCGGCTATCTCTTCGACCACCGACACACTGAGATCGACCCGGACGACGTGGTCGGCGACAAAGGCGTACGGCCGGCTGACGCTGGTCAGGTCCGTCGGGTCGTACTCCTCCAACAGCTTGACGGCGCTCCACGAATTGAGCAGCACATCGTCCTCCTCCGGCGGCACCGGCGGCGGAGGTTTGGCGAAGGGGTCGGAGGCGTCATTGTGAGCCTGCGAACCGTTGCGGCGTTTCAAGGAGCCAGTGGCAGCAGCGGATTTCTTGCGCTGCTGGCGGTCGTCGCTGGCCTGCCGGGCCTCGGGGAGAAAGTCAAAGTTCGTGTAGAAGGACTCGAGAATGGCATTGGAGGACTCGGGGCCAATGATCCACTCGGGGGCGGCGTCGTCGATGTTCTGGACAACGACGTAGACGCGAATGCTCGGACGATGCCAGCGGAAGCCGTGACAGAGGTAGGTCGGCATAGTTGGTCAGAGCTGTGCGGCAGCACACTGAGCGATCTTGAGGGGAACACTGCGAAACATGAAAGTACAGGAATCTCTCACAAACCCCCGACACACCAAGATGTGGTCGAGTCTGGATATTCAGAGCGAGGTGGGCTACTCCAGGGTGATGATGGTCAGGTCAGGCGGAATGATGGCTTTGACCATGTTACGATGGGACGCAAACGGCGCGTGCCACTGTGGCCGGTGGAGATAGGACCACGGGCCAGGAACAACAACATGGTCCTCCAGAAGATACCAATAGGCCTACTCGACTGAGTTCGAGTGGCTCCGGGCATGAAAAGGAAAAAAAAAAAAGGAAACAAAGGAATTGAGTGCAAACGAAACCCTATACAAGTTTCACGTCGCGAACCGATGCGTACCTAGGTATTCAAGCTCGGATGGTTCCGAGTGGAGTCACCCTGAGATGACATAAGCGGAATGCTACGAGCTGGCCTTCAAGTGAATGAGTCAGCGAGTTCACAGCACCAACATCGGGCTTCCATCCCCCCTGCCAGTCTGGTTGGCCCTCCTGCCTTGATACTTGGCATAGCCCTGTCGACTTCATATGTCGTCCTGCAGCTCTCAGCTCGTCGTCAATCCCTGCATAGCATTTGGAATCAGCGTCAAGGAAGCCGAAGCCGCGATTGCAGACACACTCCTTGGCGAGGGTGAAAGAGTGCATGAATTTGTTGATCATCGCCCCCCCTTTCCCTCCAGGCCCTGCTCATCCCTTGCAGTGCTGAATGGAGGCCACCACTATGGGGGCGTGATACAGCATCTGTTGTATTCAGAAGCCATCATTTGGCGACTGCGACGAATTGAGCCAGGACGAGCTCTCAGCGTTGACAGGGTCAAAGGTGCTCGCGCTCGGGCGACATTCCTCTTCACCACCTCGGACGAGCGTGCGTGACACTCTTCTTCTCTAGGCTGGAGAGC